GAGAAAACAAAACAAAGCTGTGTGAGGATGAATCACCTGTCCTTCACTATCATAACAAACAAAAACATCACTTTCATCTGTTGTTTGAGATTATTTTAAAACGATCAAATATACCTTTTTGTGAATAAAACGCTCCAGCGAAAAACATATGAACCTGACAATACTATTTCTTTATGCTTTTTTAGTGCGCCTGAGTCACTAAGCCGAAATCACCCAATCAGAGAGCCTACTTTTGCTGCAGGCTCAGACTCAAAGGAAGTCCCAGAACAGCAGATAAACAACGCACAAAACTCATCACGAGGCTCAAACGCTATGAGGGGCCAATTCAATCTGTTATCTAAGCAGCCCCAATAGATACCGTGAACACAAAATGAGAGCATGCTCGACAAAACTAAAATGGTCTGCAGCCGTCTCATTGCCACACTGAGCTTATCAGCTTGAATTTACAGTATCAGGGGCACAACTTTACTCTTATCCCAAGTAGGGATGATAAATAAGTTAAAAGATGGAGATTTGAGAAAATGCTGGGAGATGATTTCACTCGGTCTGGCTGGATGCTGAGGCAGCTCCACTCAGGGATGTAATGGGATACTGCAGCACTAGAGAACCGTGTGCACAGAAACTTGCCTAGAAGCATCAGGGAGTCCCGCACTAACCTTCCCCCTCCCTCCCTTCCTCACTCTCTCTCTCTCTCCCTTTGCCTCTCCCGCTGCTTTTCTGTCAAATCTTTCTAATGTGAGAAAACACACTAAAGTGTAATTACATTTGTCAATTTCAAGAGGTAATTTCATTAGAAAGATCAAATTGAGGGCAAAAAAAAAGCCAGAGCATACACACACGAAAAACACACAAAAACAACTTCAGAAGTAAGAAAAAGCAAGCATGCCCGGAGTGTAGTAGCTTACCTTTAGTGCAGGTCGTTCTCCTCTGGAAGCAGAGCTCTCCCCGGTCTCCTCAGGCTCCGAGACACTTTGAGATAGAGAGAAAAAGAATAAAGCTTCTTTTACTTATTTCCAGTTTCAGAATGAACAAGTCAGGAGTCTAACACAGCCCTTCTAGACACACCTTCAACTCTGTCCTCCTGTAAACTCTGCCACATGTACACACACAGACACCCATTCAAATGCACCCCAAGACTGGAGTACACAAATTGATACAGATCTGCTCAGGGGAGGGATGAAAACTACACACACTCACACACACTGCAGTTTTTTTTTTCCCCTTCCTCTTGCCCACTCGCTCTGCTGCTTTTTTTTTCCTGCTGTCTCTGCCTGCACTGTGTCCTGATTGGCCGAGATGCTCTTCAATAACATAAGCTCTCTTCTTTAATTGGAAGGGGTGCCAGTTATGTGGTGCATCAGAAACCTTCCCGCCCAGCTCATCCCTCTCCTTTTTTTTTTTTTTTCTTTTTTTCCCTAAGTGCCTGTGGAGAATAATGCTGAGCTCTGCAATTTCATACGCATCAAAGGAAAAAAAAAAGGGAATGGAGGACAGAGGGAGGAGGGAGGGAGGAGGATGTATGTAGGAGAAAAAAGGAGTGAGTGGGAATGGGGGAGAGCATCGGCGGAGAAACAGTGATCAGTGGACCGCAGTGGGACAAGCTGAAGCTGGAAGGGAACAAAGACAGCGACGGGGGGGGGGGGGGGGGGCATATTCGGTGGAATGGAGGCAGATTTTGGAAGCAGCACGTTGAGGTGTGACAGCAGGTCAGCTGAAGGGAGATTTCCCTGCACTCACTGCAGCGCGGCTAGGTGGCTCTGCTGCAGTGTGGAGTCTAATTGCCAAGCAAGAAGGGGGGATGGGAAGGGAGTTGGAGGCAGAGGAGGAGGAGGAGAGTGGGGGTTGGTTGCAGTGATGCTGAAGTACAGTCTTCCAGCAGCCAGCCAGGATATATGAGGGGGGGGGGGGGGGGACAGGCAGGCGGCTGCAGCATACAGCGGTTAATGCCTTTTCCTCATGAATTATTGAAGGTGCCCCAGAGCAGAGAGGGAGGGTCACAAACTACTGAGGTTATTCAGACTGTCTCGCTGCTGAGGTTTATGATAATTACACACACCTGAAGTACATGTCATCAATTTATTTAAAGGAGCCCCCTGTAACTTGGAGTATTTAATCCAGCTAATAAAACAGACTGCTTTAAACGAAGCAAATTGAGAGGTATTAGATCATTTCCTTCCCACTTCAGTTTCATGATTTGTTAAAATGATCTCCCATCCAGGCGAAAAAAATTGATTTACTTTGTGGTGTCGGGTTCTCCGTCCGCTCCTTTCTTTGACTTACATCTGGTCCCTTCCTGGCTGCATTTGTGTCGGGGCTGCACAGAAGCACAATATCCGAGCAGATCAATAATAGATCACACAATGCCCCTACCATCTGCAGAGGCTACAATGAGCAATTTGGGAAGTTATATGATGCCTGGAGAGAAATGCAAATACGCTGTCTGCTAAGTCAACATAGTGACTAATTGATGCAGGAAAAGACAAATAGAGAGATACCTGATATTTAAAGCTCAATTTGTAAAACACCACTTGATGTAAAACCAGAGGGAACAGGTGGTAAAACCCCAGTAAGCTCTAGATGTAATACTAAGTCTTGATTAGCATGTTTTGAAAGTAGCTATCATCTTGTCAAGTAGTTGAAAACTAATGATTTCCATTAATTACAATAATAGACAGTGGTGTAGTAGTGTGTCATATGTGCATTACTTCAGGAAGGTTTTGTTGAGTGCAAAAAAAGGAACATTTATTTCAGTGTAATGTGAAAACACAACATGTTTTTATCATTGAAAAAAAAAAGGTTATCATCATTGTCATGTTTTGTGAAAAGACAGAAAAGTGCATTAACTAAGTATTCGTCATCTGTGCGTGTGTTCCTTCATCACTTTGGCCTCTGCTTTCTCAGGAAGGCTGTAGACTGTGATGGAGATGTCTGTGCCTTCGAAGACCTGTTCCAGTATCTCTGACACTTTGTCCCACGCCAGTCGATCCAGGCCACAGCCGATACTGTCAGAGAGCGGGAGAACAACAGGCGGTTTAACGGTTACCGAAAAAGAACCAAACCAAGTGTTATCTGTCTTTAAAAATTGTTGCTTCTAATTGATGTAGCGTAACTGCATGACTAGAATTTACTCGAACACACCGAGGCATTGATATTCTTGTTACTCCGTCCAGTACACAGTGTGACTTCATGTCCTCCAGGCTCTGTCTCAGGCTGTCATAGGTTGGTTTCTGGCTTGCCTTCTTCTTTGTTATCTAAAGGATTAAAACAGGGAGGCAACATAAAAAATATAAACTACTTTGTGTTTTCATTGCATAGGAAATTACTCAAAATTAACATCTTTACCAGATAATAGACGAAACGTCTGTCTCGTTTCAGTACAGCACACTGTCCCACGGTCTTTTCTGTTTAGATATAAAAAGACAACAAAAATCATATTTAATAATGTTTTTTAAAGACCCTTTAGATTTGCTGAACCATGGATGAACTTCATGCCTTGCAGAAAAAGTATTATTCCAGCCAAGAGATGTTTTGTTTATATATTCTAGTGAAGAGAAGGTTTCCTAAGTGACCCTATGTGAGGATTGAGGATAACTATATACACATGTATGCAAAGCACAAGAATGTTTAATTGCAATGATGGTGAAGCCATTGAGGTGTTACATTAGTACAGATTGTTTGTCATACTGTCAGTGAGAGTAGAATAAGAATTGTTTTTCAATGTAAAGCTTAATGTATTGTTGACTTCAGCTTTTAAAAAAAAAAGGAATAGCAAGCTGTTGAACAAAATGATCACCAGGAATCAAAAAGATAGGACATTTTTCACTGCTTGTGAATTTTTAATGAAACGTCTGACTCACTCTGCTCCTTTAACTCCCCTATCCCTTTGAACTTTTGCTTGAACATCACTGCTATGCCTGCCCCCATGCGGCAGTCCTCGCTGATGCAGTGTGCCAAAGCCTCGTCTTCAGGGCAGGAGAACAGGTTCCCAGTCACGTAGTTCAGGCTCCAGCTGTCTTCTGCAGGCTGACCAGCAGGGGGCAGCATTACACCGTGTAAAGAAGAGGCATGGTGCCAGAACAAGACATTAACACTAGTTCATGGGAAGAAAACTAAGATAGAAACATTACTTGACACGAAATCCCTCCCCTACTTAATGTGCAAGCTTTACCTCAAATTGGTGAGTGCTGACTGGTTCCTCAGGTGTGGACGACATTGGAAACAGTGCGGTGAGTTCACGTGTGTGACGTTGCAGTCATGGACCCAAACGAGGAATACTCTGCTCTGCTCTGCTAAATGACTTGTTAGCTCGTATATTATTCGATAGTGAAAAATAGAGCTTATCACTGCAATATAAGTGGCTGTTACAATGCAGAAGAAAAAGACTTCCGGGATGGTGTTTGAAAGCTCAGTAAAAGATAGGCTGGTACGCAGCCACGAGAAATATGTTCAAGCTCTCGCGAGAACAACTGAGACTATAACATGGCTGGCCACAGGACAGTCAGAAAATACATCTTACTGACGTCAGTAAATATATAAACGTCAGCATTTCCAAAAAATGTTCTGCCTCTGTAAGTATATAAGTATTTAAGCAAATATGTGCACAGTCACTTTCTGGTTTTTAGTTGACAACAGCAAAATATCCTAAATAACCTTAATACTTGTCACTAAGATTTAGTTTTGTATTGTATATTGTAGGCTATATGAACACAAAAACATTAAAAACACATTGCATTGTTAAACTTAATTGAATTAATGTCGAAAAATTGTAAACTGGTGGTGTTAAAATGTTTTTATTTGTTGTTTGTATGGTTTAAAAAGACCCCACAAATACGCAGGTGGTCTATATATTGTACAACGTCTCAATTCAGGATAAGCCGTGAGTGTAGTGTACCAATGAGAAAATGGTTAGTTATATGTTTTCTAACTCTTACAGCTGCCACATTTAAATTGTAAAATGCGTGAGGAAAAATGTATAAACTCTTGATAATCGTCCCAAATGAGCAAAAAACGGATGGAAAAAACACCTCTTAGTGGTGGAACGTAGTTGAGAAGAGAAGTGTGTTTAATATCTTTAAAGCAAGTACTTCATGTCTGCAGCATCTGTAAAAAAAACAATGCATATAAAAAGAGCAAGAGCAGCAACGGCAATACATGACAACCTAATTCTGCTCATTTACGTTAATGCCGTAAAGGTTTACTCTTAACAAGCAAAATAGTGTGGCACAATGCAAGGATGACTGTAGTTTGGTCTACTTTTTACAATCATACAAACTGATATAGATACAAAGCAGGGTGATTGGTTACACATGGAGGAGCTGACTGATCTGACTAGAAGTTAGCACTGCGTCTTCTCTCATTGATCCAGTCCCCAGGGTTGACGTCCATCTGCAGCATCTTCATCACCCACTTGTCCCTCCTTGCTCCATCAATGAACTCGTCCAGTGAGAGCTCCCCTAAATGACAAGGGAGTTTAATAGTCAGAGGTTATTTCTCATTTAACAACAATGACCACGAGCATGCTCTGCAGAGCTATTTAAGCAGATGGACAGAGACTTGAATTATGGCCCTTTGAATGATTCATGAAGCATTTTAATTTGCCAAATAAACCGCTAAATACACTCACCATCTCCATTTTCATCAACCAGCTCAAATATGCGGTCGACCACTTGGTCTGGGGTCAGCAGATTGCACTCTTCATCAAGCTCTCCATGGCAGGCTTTCTTCAGTCGATAAATTGACTGAGAGTGAAAGGAAATGTTAAAGCTACTCTGTCATTGATCCCATTTCATTACAGACCATTTGAACATTATTTATAATATATTTTGCAGATGAAATGTTGCTTATAGTTCGTAGTTTACAGTTTAGTTTACAGCTGCTGCAATCGCAGTCAAGACATAAAAACACTGGACAAAGAGCATTGAGGCAAAAACAAGACATCAAAAATACTAAAATCAGTTTTCAAAATAAGACTTAAATTACAAATTATTAATTTAAAACATTTTTTTTTTAATTTTATTGACATATTCACCCTGCAAAAGTATCCAGTGTGCAACATTTTAAAATCTCAAAACCCCAATGTAAATACATATTTATGCAATATATTTTATTGTGAGTTTTACCTCAACGATTTCTAGAAGCTCTGTTTTATCGATGCATCCGCTTCCATCTTTATCGTACATTTTAAATGTCCATTTCAGCTTGTGCTCCAGTTTACCCCTCAGCACTAAGTTCAAGGCCGCCACGTACTCCAGAAAATCAATGGTGTTGTCCTGTGAACGTGAAATGAAGGTGCAAATGTTATGAAGGGCCATTTAGATGCAATGTTCAAGCAAGAAAAATATTTCTTAACTTTGACAAACAACATGTCTGAACTGTGTTTACTTGATAGAATATAAAGAGTCTCCTTACTAGATTCAGTAATCCAATTTATTGCTGCAACTTAGATCAATGTAACAATTGATTTATTGATCAGTTATTCTCCAAATGAATTTAAGATTACAAACTATGGGAAAATTAGGCTCTGTAATAATTCAACTATCAACATGTTGAACTGATTTTTTAAAGATTATTTTTTGGACTTTTTGTAAAGGATAACTGGAGAGTGCCATGGGGGGTTGAAAGAGAGAGTGGGGGACAACATGCACCAAATAGGGTCAGGATCAGGAGCCGAACCTCTATATGTGGCCGCTGCTCTAATAAGTGAGCTAATGTAGCCCCCTATTTACTGATTTATTTACACTAATTATCAAATTACTCCAGCTCTTAAAATATGACCATAATAATGGACACACTAGACACCGGTATTGTCACAAATGCTGCCAGAACAACAAACCTCCATCTGTCATGTCCTTAGTATATTAAGACAAATAACTCTTATACACAACAGACGTTTGTACTTACGCCGTTCTTGTCGAAGGCTCGAAACATGTTCTCAATGTAATCTGCAGCCGCCTTGTTTTCCGTTACACCGAAGAAGCTCTTGAACTCGTGCCTGAAGAGAGTTCCACTTGGGCATTCCACGACAAATTTTTTATACCACTCCTGCAGCTCTGCGGCATCAATCTCCTTGTCTGGATCACCTTCTTCACTCAGGCGCTGACCCATGGCGGAGACTTTTAACTTCAAACCCCTAATGACTGAAACAATGTCTTACATTACACAAAACTCTTTGACCTTTAAAAGACCTTTAAAATATTCCCTCTACAGTCCACAGAAAAAGAATCCTTAGTTACCACCAGTTACTGCAACAAACCGTGCGAATCAGGAAACACCAAAAATGATGAAAATGACCCGACAGTTCATTGAAAGCTGAGCTGTTATTGAGCTCTCTATTATGGCAAATCCCCTGTGAAAGGTGAGGATAAGACACAGACTGACATGGATCACATGATTAAGGATTACAAATGGACACTTGTCAATATCTATTAGTTCACAGACAGATTATAAGACGATTTCCGTGAAGCTATGTATCTACACACACACACACACACACACACACACACACATACACACACACACACAGGACAGGCAGGACTAAAGCTAAAACACGCAATGGTTGACTCAGAATAAGGGCCTGTTATCTATAGACAATAACCAGAAGAGCAGTGTTTCCTGTTCACAGAGCAGATATTGAACTTTCTCCAAGTGCCATCTCTGTGTTGGAACTGACTTTTTATACCAGTCATGAGGTCAACTATACAATCATCCAGCTTTCTTTGCACAGAAATTCCAGTAATATAGCCTACCGCTGATTTAATAATGAATTGATGAAATAAAAACACTGTTTAGAGACCATCTTAGTCAAAATACATACATCTCAAAGAAGGTCTAAATTCACAAATTGATGAAATGAATTAATGATAAGGGACTCAACATTTCTGATAGAGCTTCACCAATTGTAGCCAAGAAATACGATTCAGGATATCTCAGGCACTGGTGGCTAAGCTTGGATGATTCCTTGCTGATCTCTCATCTGAACCTTTATGGAAATGTGAAGCTGAATCACTGAAGTGCTCCCTAAGTTACAAAAAAATCAGTTTGATGACTCACACAGACGAAGCGTTTTGTTATCCCTGAAAGCTCAGACCTTTAGGTGCCAGGTTATTTGTTTTGAGCCTAATCACTGTTTACATGCCTGAATCAGTCTTCCTGAATCCTTTGATAAATATTCTGTGGCATCGAGATTGCAACATTACGAGAGAGAGCAGTCATATTAGGTAAATAAGTGGAAACAACTATGAGGTTTTGGTTTTTCATGAGCACTGGGCAGTGGAGAGTCCTTGGAAGTGTGGAAATAACAAAAAAAAAATCACGGTTAGTGGTGTAACCATGTCCATTGTTTACAGGTGTAAGCTTAGCCTGGCCCAATACCTTCCTGGCCGATGAAATGTGCTGACAACAGGGTGAGTGATAATCTTAGCTTAGAGGTGTCAAGGCCACTTTTAGCATCACAGCATGCTTACTTCATATGATGAACATGTTCAACAGTCTCCTGCTCTTTCTCTTGTTTTGTTTTTTTGTTCCTTATAATCATTACATATAATCATTTTCCTTTTTAGTTAAATGCTTACATCAGCATGCTAACGAGCAAACAGTGGTAATGTTGACATCTTAATATTCAGGTGTTTTTATGTTTAACAACACATTTGATCAGCGTGCAAGCAGGAACATTTGTATTTTAGCCTTTTGGTTCAGCTAAGCAGTTTGGGAAGTGAGTTTTGCAAAAATGTGGTCATGAACAAAAATAATTGGACTGAATGAAAAAAAATCAATTTGAACTGGAAGAGATAGAGGTTATTAAAGTTCAAAGTCTTTGATCACACTAGTAATTGTTTTGCAGATATTAATTTCATCTCATGCTTTCAAGGTATTTCACTATGAATCAATGAATGTCTAACTCATGGAGACACTTGAGGGACAGTGCTTCACCATTTTGTTTGATTCATCCGCTGTGGGCCGTGAAAGTATGTCTAAAAATATATATACAATATGTATGTCCTTGCTACAGGCATTTCTATCATACATACATTATTCTTTTACCATTTTGGGGGTCGCGGGAGGGCTGGAGTCCATCACAGCTGTCATTGGCCAATGGGCAGGGTACACCCTGGACTGGTCAGCAGTCTGACATATAGAGAGTGACAACCAGCCACACTCACACCTACGGGCAATTTAGAGTCACCAAGCATGTCTTAGAACAGTGGGAGGAAGCCGGAGAACGTACGCATGTACAAGCAGAACATGCAAACTCTACGCAGAGAGGCTCTGACCAAAAGGGGTTCGAACCAGGAACCTTCTCAACGCTAACCACCGGCCATAACTAGACGTAGACGATCAAAACAATCATGCTGACACACAGACAATAGAGGAGCACTAATTGAATGGATAATAAATAAGGCAGCATTGATTGGTTAACACCAGTGTGTTTCATGGCAGGTGAGTTCAGCAGCATGTTAGCATATAGTGACAACCTAAAAATTAATTGTGTTCTGTCATGAACCTTTGTTCAAGATGACTTTGTATCCACAAAACCAAAAGTAAAACCTCCAATGTGACTGATTAATAAAATCTTCTGATTCACGTCTTCTTATTGTTCTAAAAGGTACAAAAAGTGACTCAATTTGCAAATCAAAATAACAACTCCCATAATATTAACAGAGCAAACTATGTTTCCAATTTGAGCATTTATTGCTTTCCATGAATACTATGATACAACCTCAAGCATTCCATTTCAGCGGACTGATCTACGAAGGCAGTGGACAAGTATTACAAGTCTACAAAAACTGATTTACAGATACATACTGTAGAAATCCAAGCTATCAAAAGGGACAGTTGTACAACAAAGGTATGACATACAGAAAGTGTAAAAGTACCTTACGGTCTTGTTGATGGATCAGAAAGCAGAAAGGGTTTCCTTTAGGCCAAAAACTATCCGACCAAACTGGGAACTACTGGCAATAGTTTGTGTTAATATTGGCTCAATACCTCGACTACTCCAAACTGTAGCTGTATCTGTCAAGTGGTCAATGCAAAGAAATGTACTACAATAATATTAAAAAGAAATACATTTTCTGGTATGTGCTTTATAGAGAAAGCAAACCGTGTGTTTTTCATTCAACTGAGACGTATTCTTCAAAAACATAGTCCAATCAACTCGTCTTAGGCCAAAATCAAACTTCAAGCTTCAAATGTATCTTTTGGAAATGCATGCCAAATAAGTAAAGAGTAATCAAGGTTAAATTATGAATCACATTATAAAAATCAGGAAACACAGATTAGAAAAACTATTAGTCAACGCTGAAAAAAGCTGAGTCCACGTAATCTCATTTAAATCATTTCCTTCCAGTTTAAAGACCAGGGGATGTGTAGCCGTGTGTAGTTCAAACTGAAGAGGACGAAAAGATCCACTCGTGAGGAATCTTGTGGTCCACATCGCTCCTGGTCCTGGTGTCTTGAGGTCCACAGTGCTACAGATATACCCTTGGTGTGGTGAAATACAGTGTAAAAAGAGTCAGTTGGCAAACTGGGCTTCATGTTAGTCATGTTCTCCGGGCTCTGTCGCAGTGTTTGTGCTGTCTGAATTGTCGGCATCGCCCTCTGTTGACAAGTCAGGGGAATCGCTGGAAGAGGGCACCTGCTTGTCGCTGGACGCGCCCTCTCCGTCACTGCTGCTGCTGCTGCTGCTGCTGCTGCTGCTGTTCTCTCCGTCAAAGGTTGCACTCTTCTCTGACGGAGCAGGCGGCTCAGGTTGTTCCGGGCTGCCGTCTTTCTCGAGACTGCAGCTGTCCTCTCTGTCCAATGGGTCTTCTTCCCTTTCTGAAGGTTCAGGGTCAGAGCTGCTGGGCTCTGAGGACCAAAGGAGACAATATTAGCTGCAGCGTACAATTATTTTCACGTTAATTATTTTATAAATAACTGATGAATCGTTTGTTCATAAGCTCTTAGAAATTGTGAAATGTATACATCACAAATTTACAAAGCCCAAAGTGACGTCTTCAAATTTCTAAGACGTTGGACTAGCTGTTTGAAATAGAGATATTTAATATTCTTATATAAGAGAGAGATATATATATATATATATATATATATATATACACACACACACAGTAATCTATCACAGAGGTACGACACCAACAACTATTTACTATCACTCTCCTCCTCAAATACAAACATTATCATAGAGATATTAGGCATGGAGACATGACCATATATGGAGTCTACTCAGCAGGCTATCCATCCTGTTGCTGATTGGACTCAGAGCAGCTGCAGCCTCGTTAACAAAACACCTGTGCAGTGTATTGTCTGGCAAACCTAATGAAGCCATGGTGACACACATTGTTTAAAAATAAAGACTATAGAAAAATAGGAAGCAATTCAGCCTTCTTGTGTTTGGTGAATGCATTTATTTTCTATTTTCTAACTGTGTTTAAAATCTCCTTATGATTGAATTGGAAGGAAGGGGGATGCTTGTTTCAACCTTCAACTCTTTCTCTTGGGTACTCTTACGTCTCACAACAACTCCGTCACTTCAAGATAAAATAAGATATACTGTATTGTCCCCAAAGATGAAATTTGAGTCGGACTCTGTCCTGCAGTTACAAGAGGATTGCAGGATTTAAGATACAGGAAACAGCAAACTGTGACACCATGCCAGCAGTCTCTCTCTGAACGTTTATGCACTAACCCACAATTATTAACAATCACACTTATACTTGGAATGGGATCAGGACGGCAGAGCCAGGAGGAGACTCTTGATGGCAGGAGTTTGGCAAGCATGGCCATTCAGCATTTTGAATAACCATTTTGGCCTTTAAATTATGCTTGATGTCAAATCTCACAACCCAATTATTTTCAAGCATGGTGAGCCATTTAAGGAATCTCTTTTTTAATCTATTTTTAACTTAATACGATCACTGTTAACGGTTTTAAAAACAATGATGAAGTCAAGCTTTTTTTCCCCACCTCTACACTTTTTTCTTCCTTTAAAAAGGCACAGTACGTAGATTCTCTCAATCAACACATTAATAGATGACATTGATGCTGGCAGGGAATCATGGGAGTTCTCTCCGAAACACCTAATACTTCGGTCACACCTCAGAAAAAGAGACGAGTTCAAACCTACCACTATCCTTTGAAGTAGTCGGTGTGTCACTAGACGTTCCACTTTTGACCACCAGCTCTTGACCACAGGAGTCTTTTGAAGACTCGGGTGTCTCTGGCGAGCTCTCTGCTGTGCCTTTACAACACGATGACTCCTTCTCTTCACTTTCTGTTTCATCCTCTTCTTTTTCCTCAAACTTGAGCCTCTTGACCTCACGTTTGTCTGCATCGGAAGTCTCCTCCTCTTCCTCCTCGTCAGAGTGTTTCTTCTTTATCCCAGTGTTTGGTGCAATGTCACCTTCTGAGGGTGAAGAATCGCTGCAGGAAGGACAGAAACACAAGGAATCAGTCCATCTAATGTTATACTCAACGTTATAGCAATGAGTAGCTCATGAGAAGATTGATGTGTGGAGGGAGTGTGTGAGCTTGACAGCTATTTTAGATGTCCTGGACAGTTAAATGAACTTCATATATTACAGTACACACCATACATGAGTGCTCAAATCACCTGATATGGTGTGCCTCCACATCCTCTGTGGTCGGCTCTGGCTCTTTACTGACTGGACAGTCAGGGAGCCCGTTGGTGGAAAGTGAAGTTGACAATGACAGTTTTGATCTGAAGTGGGGTTTCGGTGTGCCTGGTCCATTTACATTTCGACTGTAAAAAAAAAAAAAAAAAAAAAGTAGCATAACTATATTTAAGAAACACATAACACAAGGTGGGAAATCAGCAGAACCACTAAAACCAAAAGTGACTGGAAAGACATAACAACTATTAACATATCCTTAATTTGTTCTCATATTTGGGTCCAAACTAGTTCAACTTTCCACTTTACAAGGAAATGACTCAATCACTGACAAGTGTGTGGCTCCCACCTGTCTGAGTACAGAGAAGAGTTACCAGGAAACATCACTCCATTCATTCTGTTTACACTGGAGGCCCCATTTTTCCTTCAAAAAGAAGCAGAAAGGCACAGAATCAACTGTGTGCTAAATGGAACTTTGGAAGTTTGACTAAATGAACACATTCAAGGGAGGTGACATTTTGCATCTGAAGCAATGAACGGGAAAATACTGCAGCGAGCAGAGCAAGGGGACGAAAAGCTTAACAGCTAAAGTACTTACTCTGATGAGGGGTGAACACAGCTGACCACCATCACATTCTGCAACAACAAACATTTTTTTTTTTTAAATAAGAAGACATTTTGAAGCTACACTAAGTGTTTTTAAACATTGATTCATCTTTAAAAAAATTTTTTTTACAGTTTGTGGGCAGTGTAGTTCTCACCTTCTCTAACCCCATGAGAAACTTGTCTGTTCCAGTATAGTTACGCTTTGGATCCGTAAGAGCTCACATAGACGCTGGATGGTGAATGGGATTCTGGGAAAATAAAATAATCAACAGGCATATTGAAGTTAATACTGCATAAAAAACGGAACCAACCTGGTCCAACTCCTGATCCAAACACATGAACATAAATGATTCATCTGGTCAACATACTTCTATTCTGGAGGAAAGTTCACTCAGTCAATGCTTTGATGAGGAACTTGATTTTTTCATATCTGACTGATACACCAAGGAACATAGCAATTGTTTGCAATTAATTTAGTTTTTTAAGCTTTTTTTAACGCAGTACTTTTACTATGCGGATATTCATTATGAGAATTCCAGGTGTGACGATTAAAGATGCAAATATGTGATGGGAACAGCATGCAAAACATTGAGCAAAGAAACTTCCATTCAGTTTAGCACATGAGAGGAAATCACCAATGATGGTGTGCACATGCACTGATTGACGTGCTACTTTGTTCAGTTTTCTATGAGGGTTTGTGGGGGATGGTTTTTGTGTGGAATTTCTTAAGTGGATAGTAATGGTGAAACAGACCACCGTTGATCTGTTTGTATCACCCCTCCCCCCCCTTCCGTTCGGGCTGCATATGAAGGATGGAAGGTTTATTAACATTGTGTACAATAAATATACTGCCGCTAAATCTTTGTGCGGATTCCCGGTGAGAAAAAGGAACACATTTAGAAACGTATTTTCCCGCAAGTTTTTCACGGAATTTTACGCAGAAGTGGGTCATGAAGCGTTGATATTTCAGTGAGGATGGTATCAAACGCTGCTTCAACTTTTCTCTGTTTGATCTCACACTGTCTGTGTTTGTCATGCAGGCATCAGCTAGTGGCTGCGTGTTTAAAAAAAAAAAAAACACCTGGTAGCTTCACGTCAGTAACGTTACAGCCTGCTGAGCGCTGTGTGCGTTCCAAGTATTACACACACACACGCACGCGCGCGCTAAATGAACAGTGTGTGTATGTTACAGGTTCAACTCTTGTCAAAGCTTAGAGAAAAACAGATTAAGAAAATTAAATCACAAAAATAAAATCTGTAGATTACAGCAAACTTGTATTCATAGAATGATTCAGGTTCTGTTTGTTATGTTCAAATATTGCAGTTTTATCATTAAAGACTGTTGTAGTCAGACTTTTAAAATCACTTTCTTAATAAAAGGGAATTCTGGTTTATCTAACTGCTAGTATTGGAATCAGATTATTATTATTACAGGAAACAATGTATAGCTTAGTGAAAAAGAGTCAAGGAAATTGATTGAGAATTGTAGTGATGTTAAAAGGCACAATGTTATATTATTCTCTAAATCTGTGTTTGGATACGAACTGGGATGTGCACCACTAGTGGATTGTTTACGAGCTCTACTCACCCGTTATAACCATCCACTATTTTTAAGATCCTCTTCTTCATGTCTTCAAAAGGAACATAGTCAACGTTGGGATTGTGTGGTCCTCTCTGTTCTGGTGTTGAAGCATGGAAATCTTCCATGACTTTTTCCAACTTGAACATGAAGTACATTTTGAACTGTGACCATGGGATCCTGGAAGAAATTGGACACGAAGACTGTAAGCATTTAGTTGTTTGTACAAAAGGTTAAATGTGCATCTTATCTGTATCCTAGTGTACAACTCTTTAACTGTTTTTATATTTTATTTACACAAAAGCCCTTCTTGGCTGCAAATTAGCACCAGCTATAAACACTAGGACACTTGCATTGGATTGCTTGTTTTCAGTTTGTCTATGCATCCCTATGAAAAAAACCATAAATAAATTAATAAATAAAATAATAAGCCTTTGAGGAAAACTTACAGTGGCTGTCCTGTCTTGGCAATATGACACAAGAATTGCTCCAGAGCCGGACAGGTTTCTTTCTTGCCTTTTTTCTCATAATCTGTGAAAACCCACATGAAACAGACAAATCAGTTGAGTTGTTGATTATATCAAAAAAATTAAATAAAACACAAAAGCAGCCAAAATATAGCTGCAAACTAACAAACCAAACAATGATTATACTACTTAATAATTATAACTCCCCTCCTTCCTCATTTTATCTCTTCAAAATAGCCCAAAGCAGAAGACACACATTAGATAATAATGTATATAATGTATTGATTCTTAAAAACTGTTCAGAGGAGGTTTCAGGCATGATGGAGCATAATATAATGTGAACAACTAACTGGAAAGTTTCTGAACAAGTTATTATGTTGGCGTATTTATTGTGACGCTACACAAAGCTAGCTCTGTATATAATCTCTTAACAATTAGAATAAACGTGAAATAAATGTAGAAACACCCCAAAATGTCTTTCTTGTAGACCACAAGATCGAACTAGCTTGATCAATCAGATACTAAATTAGTTTGTCCCCAAGTGCCTCCACAGCACGTTTGATAATCGTTTCAGTAAGCTAAGTTACAGTACGTAACGTACTTAGCAAGCATTACATGTTTTGCCGGGGAACATAACAAAAATATATACATTCCTAACTCGTAATCAATCGCTCTTTTTAAATAAATGTAAACATTGCCTTGAAACGCTTCCAATAACGCGTCGATGTCCATAGCTGTGTCCAGAAAGAGGCAGGAAATACTTGCTAGTTAGCAGTAGCAGGTAGCAACCCAACAAAGCTGGTGGCAGTGAGGTCTGCGCATGCCTCAACCGTGCGGCCTCACGGTGAGGGGAATAATCGGAAAAATATGTTATTTGACTGGGAAAGTGAACGTGAAATGACGAAACAACGAAACATTAGTTTGGTAAATTGGTGCACAAAACGGTAGCCAATTTGATAATCTAGTAGAAGCTATGTGAAATCACGCAGAGGTTTAAAACGTATTTATTAGCTGTCATCACGCAGCGTATTAGTTAGGTATGTGGTAAAAAAGATAGGGCAGTTCGTTGATTCCATGTAGTTACTGAAAAAAAAAAACACAGAACACATAACTTTACATCAATGCGTTTTAATTTGATAAGAAGTGAGAACACTTTAAATATGGGAAATGATTTTTTTTAAATTGGTATCTCCGAGCATCCAAGAGGCACCTGAACGCAGCTTCAAGTTACATACTACATTTTGCAGGAAGATGCGTTCCAAACAAGCGAAAGAACAAGAAAGTACTTGCGACGGTATAATACGTTAGTCATACGTTTTTCACCGTTATTGTTATTTAAAAAAAAATAATAATAATTTAGTATAGCTACGTTCAGACTCCCGTTACTGAAACTTCGGGACCTTTCTGGCGCGCTGTAGGTGCCGCAGGCTGTCAGCGGGCGTCATCGTTTTTTTTCTGTTGTTGTGACGGCGCAAACCGGGAAAGAGACCAATGAGTCAGCTGCTGATAGGGGTTAATTTTACCTAACGAACCTATATATATACACGCATCGATAACAGTCCTGCTGGAAACAAGTATAGGGAAGATCTGCTAGTTTTTGACGACGGTTTTTCCAAGAGGTAACAATGGCAGTTCCGGTAGCTGCGTTTCCACTGAACACATCATCCAGCCCGGGTTTGCTGGAGCACAACATTCACATCAGCGACAGAGATTTGGAGAGGATTTCAAGTGACAACGATAACGACACTCTGCCTTTGCATTCTCCGTGGACTTTTTGGCTCGATCGGTAAGAAACTTCGTGATTATTTCCCCCCCTCCCTCCCTCTCGCTGCCATAGTCAGATTATTCTCTTCACAGCTGTAAGTAGGTGAACTCTTTGTTGCTGACCTTTTTTTTTAATGAGAACAAAGAAAGGAGATGACGAACATTATCAGGCCTGCTACAAGTCAACCTTAGATAACATTTATCAGACACAGAAGGACTGATGTCTGAATAAATCACAGCAAAAACAAAACAAAAAAACAACATTATACAAACCCCTGCCTGAAGCTTTTCCACCGACTTGTTTTTTCTCTCTGACCTACATACGCAAGTGCTCCACTTTGTGGGATCTTAAAATAAACAAAAAGGGGCCCAATTATGACAAGCTGACTAAACATAATAACACGAGCTGATCTCATACAAGGTCAGTTTGAGTTCATCCTTAGCCTGTTCTTATTCCATTTATGAGCACTGGTGTTATTGTTAAAACTTGTTGAGTCACTGCTCATATGCCTGTTGCCATTTTGTCCAGTACATCACTTTCTTTCTTTTAGATTAAAATTCATTATGATCCCTGTTTTATTTTCTTAAAACAAATATTCCCCCCCATCTTTTTTTTTTTATTTTTTTTTAAATATGGACATTTTTATTAGAACTACATTAGAAATAACATAACACACAAGTGACCCTGAGTAAGACAAGCCTCATCATCCACAGTGTGTACAAATCACAGGGTCCTGTGTTCAAACGGGGTCAGTGTTGTTTACTGTTTACTGGCTTATTTGTCATCTGATCCCCTCTAACCTGTCTGCTCAGAGGGCAGCTCAGTGGAACATGTCTGAGTTACATAGCCCCCCGGCAGTTATGCACGTATAGGAAATGTCAAGTTAGAACACCCGAGGTCCCTTTTCCTTTTTTGTTTAGAGGCAAATAAAACCAATGGCATTTAAGTATATCTACATTTCAGGTCTCTACCTGGAACTACAGCAGCTGAATGCGAGTCAAACCTGAAGAAAATCTACACGGTTGAGACTGTCCAGGTGAGATGTTTTTAAAGTCTTGGTACATGAGTATATCTCCAGCAGGCACACTGTAAGTGGTTTTAACATATGCTTCTTTTACATTCAAAACAGAACATATGCAGAAATGACACTGATTTTGGAGTCCCCCCCCCCCCCAAAAAAAAAAATAGCCAAAGTCCCAGACAAGCTTTGTTTTATGGCTCGTATCAAAAGGGAAACAGAATGCAGATTTTAGTAGCAGCAATAACAGGCAGCCACTAAAATGTTGGCAGCATCACTGCCTGCCTGTGATAGAGGTCAAACTGCATATAGTCAGTCTTGGGTACAGTTAGATAACACAAAGCAGTTTCAATCTGACTCTGAATCTTTTTTTTTTTTTTGGGGTGTTCCCTTTATTATTATTTTATTGTTTTCTGCTGAAATCTGCCGTCACATTGTTTGGAAAGCGAACTTGACTAAAGTCCAGAGGGGCCTGCATGTGGCCCCTCGGTGAACAGACAGGTCACGTGCACCTGTCATAAACACGAGTCACTGTGGTCATTTGAAAGCCTTGATTACTTATTGTTAAAAAAAAAACTTCTTTTAAAAAAAAAAAAAGAATTGTTATTTTTTTGCGTCCATTCAATTGAGTGTGCAGAAATTAAAAATGAGGGTGGAGTGTATGCTTTTGCACCCTGGTAGAACCTGGTTATTTGGAAAGATGTTAAAGAGCTTAAGTACACTGTAAAACATCTTTAATTGCAGCTGTGTTGGAAAATTCATAACTACGTTTTGTATGTGTGACCTGCAAGGGCGATCGAGAAACAAGCTGTGGTAGAGATTTTCTAGCATATACCACATGTGAAATATTTACAAAGTCAGCTGTGAGTCTGTACACCCTGTGCCAGTAAATCATTCAATAAAAAAATAAAGGAACCTGTTTCCTCTTTTCATCTCTGCACCTGAGTAGAACTTCTGGAGAGTTTACAACAACATACCCGGGGTCTCCAGTCTGCCGCTGAGATGTAGCTACCATCTGATGCGAGGAGAGAGAAAACCCCTCTGGTGAGTGTGAATTTAAAGATGCATGTTTTCAGAGGATTCTTCTGGAATAGTTTGTGTTATATCATTTTGTGTGCATTTTGAATCCAGGGAAGAAGAGAGCAATGCTAAAGGTGGTGTTTGGAAAATGAAAGTGCCCAAAGAATGCACTGTAAGTATCATAATCTATACAAGTCTTTCTTATTATGATGATTTTGCCATTCATAGAATTTGTCTCACATTTACAGTCTGCAGTGTGGAAAGAGTTGCTGTTGGCGACCATTGGAGAACAGTTCAGTGATTATTGTGCCTCAGGTAAAGTTCTGGATCATGTGGGGGGGGGGGGTGCTGTAGGTAGAGGAAGATAATAATTTAGCATGTTGTTTTATTGCAGTGACTTTAATTCTTTTGCTGTTCTTGCAGATGATGAAGTTGTCGGGGTCAGCGTCAGCGTAAGAGACAGAGAGGATGTCTTTCAGGTGTGGAACGGAAATGCTTCATGTGCTAATGAGTCAAAGATCTTAGGGAGGATCAATGAGCTCCTCCCACAAATACCCTTTAAAGCTGTCTTTTACAAACGTGAGTATCATCTTGGATCGTTAACCTTCATCATGGAATAACGATAACACCGGGAAAAACAGGCGCTGACGTTTTTATTTTCTTTAATCTTTCAGCACACGAGGAGCACCATGCATTTGAAGGAGGTCGACCAAGACATTAGCACAGCTCGAACAGCAGAACACCTTTAGATGTACTTGTTAAATGCTTATTTTGGATAATGTTTGGGCAAAATTTTGATGCAGTTGAGTTTAACGTTGCTGTATTTGTGTCATCTAAATTACCTCAAAATGTAGCCGATGTATTATTAATCTTAGTGGATGGGGTTTTTCATCTTCTGAGCACTTCTGTCATCCATCACGTGACCCAGAATACTTTTATTATTGTCACTTTTATTAAGTAGAAAACCCCTTTTAGTTTGATTTTATCTACGACAGTGTTTGTATGTTTTTATACTGAAACATTTTGCAGAACCAAAAACAGCAGATCATGTACAGTCAGGTTGTTTTTAGATGTATTATAGCATAGTTGTTGTTTCCTGAGAACAGAAATAGCTTGGTTGGTCTTTAAATTGAATCTAGTTTTTGGAAGAGCAGGAGGCTCGGTTCCACAAATTGAACCTGTATTATCACTTTACATTACAAGGCTTTTCTAGTCGCCTCTTTTCCCTGTTTTGTTTGTTACAGCCAAAACACTGCTGCCTATACTGGAGAACCTACGGATTAAGTATGCTGTAATTCTACCATTCGAGCAGACAATTGCACATTTGTCTTTGTTTTTTTCCCGTTTCTTTCTTTAGGATAATCTTGATTTGTGGAAAGCTTATGTTCACGTTGCAATTTCAAGACCCCAGTGCACAAAAATCGTAGGTAGACGCTGAGAAAGATATGCAATCATTTTTTATTCTGCAGAATATGTAGTGTCATGGTTGTTAGTTTGTTCAAGCTCTGCCCTAAATCAAGCACTTTGTTTTCTTACTGTTTGTGTTAAGTCACCAGATAGTCCTTCTCGGTTTACATGGAGTTATGATGACTGAGACCAAATCCAGCTTGGTTTTGTGTCGTCACCCTTTTCTGATCAATCGTAAAACTGTTTTGGTTCACGTTGAGTTTTTCTTTTTTTTCTGCTTTAGTGTAGAAAACGAGGTTATTCAATGTGTTTTTATGTATTCAACTGACTTGTGTTCAAATTAAATTTGTGAAAACAACCATTTTGGATTATGCTGCCTATAGGATAAATACTGAATAATCAAACCCCCCTAAACCTTCACAAAAATAAGCTGTATATGCACTGATCAAAATCTGATTTGAGCAGTTATTACACATCTCAGCCAGCACTTTTATGGTCCATTTCTGTGCAGATTATTCTGAGTTCTACATATAGTACATGGGTAGAAGAGTCATTTCTTTGTAGTCATGAAGTATTCTTTGAAACCCGCAGAGAGACTGTTCATGCTAAAACATTCATTTGAGGAGGTGCCAAAAAATAGCTGAATTTTACCCCTCACCCTTAATCTTCATGTAATAATGTTTAAAGTAGTGGAATAATGACATTTCAATGCTATATCATTGAACATACACAGTTGACCACTCACTTACGATCTCAGACTTTGTAAATGATTGTTGATCTTGGATGGTGCCTTGTGTTCACCAGCAGTTTAGAATGTCACACGTGTTCAGCATGTTGGATTTATAAAGACTCATGTTTCTCGATTAGTTTTACACATGTTTGACAAATAAAGAAGCATCAACTTCACTCTTTGGCATTTTGAATACTTTCTTCACGTTTAATGAGAATATCAACGGCTAAAGAAAGATATTCATCTGCAGTATATCCTGTTTGCGCTGATGTCAGATTCCAAGTTGTGTATGGAATTGTGTTTTCTTCCTTTCTACCAAATAGGTTTTTTTGCAGTATGTTTGTGTGTAATAGAAATGGGCTAATTTTCATAAGAATAAATCTCATTTTACAACTGAAATGATTGCAAGTTATTGAATGACCTTTGGGACAAAGATACTGTACATTTTTACACCAATTTATGTATGATGCAAAGACACAAGGCTCACATCTTACAGGAGTCAAGGCACCATTTCATGACTGCAAGAAGGAAAAATGTGACCCCTTGTGGTTGCATCAAAGCACTGACATAAACGTAGTTCATAAAAATCCGACACTAACACTGACCACATTTTCACCTGAAAACAGACTTGTATGGATTAAATGCCTTTTAAATCCAGGAAATTCATGTCATTAAGTATTGTCAGAAGTTAATTTTTAAGAACACAAATGTTTCCGTGTGCACGCCATGCATGTTTAAATGTTCTACAAATATGATACAGCAAAATCAAAACAAAAAAAAAAATCCGTAGGCTCTCTTAGGGGACATAAAGTCTTCTCCTTTTACTGTCTTGGGTCTGTAAGGTCCGTAACAGTCTCTCGTGTGGACGTGACGTCACCATTGTTTACTTTTACATTAGCCACGCCCACTGTTAGCAACTTGTGGCTAGCTCGCTACCAAGGAAGGTACTGGTGCCGCTTCGAGGTTCATTCTCCAGACACCACCCCGAGTCAAAAGACTGTCTGCCCCCTCACATTTCGGTGAGTACGCGTTTGTTCGATATCGCGATGACACTCGTTAAATGGATATTAAACTAAATTATGAGTTAATTGTGTTATTATTATTTATTTTGCAAAACGAAGAGGAGGTGGAGATGAACGTTTCTTAAACCTGCTAGCAGCATAGGTGGGCAGGCTAGCTTTCGTTGAAACCTTACTGTTAGAATACCACCCGCAAGGTTGGTCGAAATATGTTTACCAGTGTAACTAACACGTTATGTACAACATAATATGATAAGCTCGGGTTAAAAACAAACTTAAAACCTCATATGTTGTCCGTGTTGATACCTTACCCGTCTGTACGCGAGCAGAACTCCTCCACGCCAACGTGAGACCGCAATGGTTGCTGTTAACGGATATTGATTCCATTCATATCGCGCTAAGCTAAATTTACGACATTTCAACTACCTTAATAAACATAGTAAAATGTAACAGATAACCTCCGTTCAATAGTTAAATTATGACGTTGACTGTGTTGATTTCTTGGGTTGAATTGTCGGCTGTGGAGGTGAAACCAGCTCCCTCGATCTGCCACATGTTGAATTTGGGAAAAAGGAAATAGATGGTAACAACAGTATCAATCTGACGTTTAAGGGCTGAATCAGCTCCAGATGGTAATAATAATACTAATGATATATATTATCATTAGTAATGATAGAAGTATTTATATATCTGCAGATGTGTAGTGTTCCCTTGGACGATTTATCAGACTATACCGAATAAGAGAGTGCATCACAAAGTAAAATATTGATCCACTATGAAAGCGGTCAAATCCTAATAATTGTAGCTGTAGGTAATATTCATACATGGCCTGATAATGAGGAACTTAAGAAACAGTGTTGGTGATGTCCTGTTAGTTTTTTTTATCCGCCTTTGTTGGTCTATTAAATGGTGATGTTATTTTACTTTTTTTTTTTTTTTTTAATAATTGGGGGTATTTATTACATAAATTCCCAAAAAAAAAATCAGCAATGTTTCCATCTGTAATACACATATTTAAACATCACTGATTTAAATTTAAATTGCTTCACCCGAGGGGATTTGATGATTTACATTTCTCGTCTTTTGTCTTTGGCAACCTGAGGTGCGGGTGTATATTGTTTACTCTTTCACAAGGAAAGGCCTCTTTGCAGGGTTTCCTTTGCATTCTTTGAAGAGGGGTGGCCCCCACTCCTTGAGAGTTTCCCCCGTGGTGAGAATAGTTTAAATAAAGTCAAAATTCACTGTGCTCTTTTTACACAGCTCACCTCAAAATGAGTTGCTTTGACGCACAACTACTCGAGCATATCTAATCCTGCAGTATCTGGAAGAAATGTGTTTTTTTTTTTAGAAATAATGTTTGAGGGTAAACTATGTTGAACGGACCAAGCAGTCAGTCATCCTGGTTTATATGTCCAAAATCACCCCTGACATCTTCAAAAATGTCTACAGGAAACACTGCCCTTTGTCTGCAGATCTAATCCTGCTCCTGAAAGCAAAAGCAAATACAGTGGAAACCTGTTTTGATAAGATAGGGTTAGTTTAAGATTGCAGGAATTACATCAGTTTTACCCATCTGTGATATGCCTGGCATATGAATATGTTGTGGCACCTAGACATAACTTTCCACTTGTAGTTATCTATTAGTCCTGCCCAATAGAAGGCCACGAGTAGAGCTTTTTTCTTCCTCTATTACTCATTTATATCTGACTGCTGGAACAGTTTTGGTCGAGAGTTCTTCTGAATGTACACGGTCTAATCAGATCATCTTACAGATGTTGTTTAAGTGAGGCCTTGCTGTTTGATTTCAGCTTGTGAATTTGATAGTCGAGTAACCCTAAACATAATCATATTATCCTGGAGGCAATGTGGCCTGATTCGTTTGAGGCTTGCTGTGTAGGTTTCCATCTGCTCACATTATTTGTTTGCCTACTTTTATTTACCTTTGTTTATGCTGCCAAGCGTTTGACTCAAACACTCCCAAGCTGTATACATAAAAGCCTACTTGTGCATTGTACTACCTGCCACAGCCGTTTATCGCACCACCTGGTTAATGGTAAATTGTTCCAGAAGGAAGATATGTTTGCACATAAACACGGACCCAGGGCCCCTGTGTTTACAGTAGTCATGGCAGCACTCGCTTATTCAACAAATAGACCTAGCATGTTCCTCTCTCACTTGTAGAAGAGAATGTTTGTCTTGGACGATCGAGCTATAACAGGGTAGTTCTTAACTTTTAGTGCGTCAGCTTTTTCTTTCAGCACAAGTAAAAAGAGAAGTCTTTGAAATTATAAGGCCTTTTTCAGACTCTATTAAATAACATTTTGAACAGAATGGACCACTAATCACTTGTGACTAAAAGTCCAAAACACCCAGAAATGAGTGTTTTCCGTTTTCTGCTATCTGCGTTTCTTTTTGTTCTTCTTTAGCCAGCTGTTTTCATTAATAATCATTTCCTCTCTCAGGTCACTGAAGTCCAGATGCATGAGTCTGGGTCAGAACCAACAAGCCACACCATTCCAGCGAGTCACACAGAGAACGGGAACAACTCTGAGAATGAGAGTCGACTGAGGAGCAGCCAGACTCCTCCTCCAGAGGCACCCAGGGTCAGTCACTTCCAGCTGCACTCATGCAACACACCAGCATTAGTCTTAAAAGCCTCGCTTTTTTTACTACACATGTAGAAATAACATAAGAGGCTTTGTATATTCTATATGTGTTGACACAATAAGGTATTTAAACCTGAAATGAAATGAATGTACTGCTATAATGACAGCTGATTGGTTGATTACTCTATAAGCAAAAATGGTAAACATAACCTTAATTCATCTTTACACATATGATGAATTTCTCCTGTTTAAAAAAAAACTCATACAGGAAAGTAACCAGGAGGCTTATGCACTTTGGACTGTTGGTGTTAAAAAACAAGGAGCAGAAAATAAAAAATCTAGAATTATTCCACACTTCATTGACAAGATGATGAATTGGTTAATAAAAATAAAATAAATTGTAGTTTTAGTGATGCTTAAAAAATAGTGCTTAGTTGCATCTTGCGTTGTTACTGCTCTGAAGGAAGTTTGTTCTGTTATTCTTTCACAGCATAATGCTGATGTGACAGAATGACTTAAGACTGAAGATTCTAAGAATATGTTGTGAAATAAATAACTTGAAGATCCTAGGTTTGTGTAGTCGGGTCATGAACAGATTTGTACAGATGTTCTGACTATTTTTGATTTTTAGAATCTGTACATACACAGGCAAGCTATTCTAGACTAAAGCTACATGCTGTAGTAAGACCATTATTCAGGATGTTGGAACAAAAAGCTCTGAAGCGAATCATGGTGTTTTCATAAAAAGTGCTCTTTTTGTTGTTCAGGGAGGTTCTGTTATTTTGTTACAGCTTCTGGGAAGCAAATTTGTAATATTTTCCCTCAATGGAACAAACATTTTTTGCAGCTGATGCAACCTTTCAAAAAAAAAAGAAGCTGAAGTGTGAATCACTGTAAGTTATGATAAATGTAGGTTTATGGTGTGGTTATCAAACATCATTATTCTTCTTTGGATTATTTATACCCTTACGCAGGTAGATGATAAAAGTGACACAGGGCGAGCAGCATACTCCCACATGGCCAAGTTGAGTTTTTATTTGTAAAGGTATCCATGAACCTCTCACTTTGAAACTCCCTGTGCCTCCAAACTCTCCAGCGTTGTATATTTATTATGCTGAGGGGGAGCACAGGGATGGGGGAGGTTTGCGCTGAGGTTTAGAAGGGGAGGGAGAGCACAGCTCCTGCTGGGCGGAGGGATCAGTGTTATATTGTTAGTTTTGTTTATGCTCACATCATGTAGGTTAGCGAGGCTCAGTTAGACTTTCAGGCAGAACCTCATTGCTGAGCACCATTTGTTTTTTCAGCAGCTACGCAGACTTTCAATGGAGGCTATCAGGTTTGTTTAATTATCTTTGTATTTGTTCTGTGAGATGAGAAGGCTATTTTTAATCACTTTTTAATATTGTGCTTACTTATATAGGGTGTGTGTCAATGGGAGTGAAGTCATTTTAAGGTTGTACTTTTTGGCTCTCATCTTATCAAATCTTCAACTGAGTTAATAACCAAATATTTTTTTGTTTTAGCAAATGTCAATCTTCTCTCGCACCGCAC